CAGGAGAGTGAAGTAGAAATTGATTCCATACCTGCTCTGCCATGTGTTTAGAACAGGGGTCAGCAAGCTAGGACCCACGGGCCAAATGTGGCCTGCCACCTGTGTTGTCAATAAAGTTTTATTGAATCATGGCCCACTCATTTATGAATTGCCTATATCCACTTTTGCCTTAGCAAAGCATGAGTACCTGCACTAGAGGCCATATGACCCAGAAGTCAAAAATATTTAACCCTTACCTAGAAGAATCATTCAGCTTAGTGGGTTATGTAAGTAATATATTTCCATATTATCTAGTGCACATGATATTAAAAGGCCCAAAGATGCCTCTATAAAAGCCTTTCTCAATGAAATTCTATTACCTACACATCTATTAGACCAAAATCCAGAACACTGACAACACCAAACGTTGGCAAGAATGTGGAGCAACAGAAACTCTCATTCATTGCTGGTGGGGATGCAAAATGGTACAGCCACTTTGGAAAACAGTGTGGCGCTTTCTTATAAAACTAAACATACCCTACCATATGTAGAGCAACCATGGTTTTGGTATTTACCCAAAGGAGTTGAAAACTTATGTGCACACAAAACCCTACACACAAATATTTATAGCAGACTTATTCATAATTGCTCAGATGGAAGCCACCAAGATGTCTTTCAGCAGGTGAATGGATAAACTATGACACATACAGACAATGGAATCATGCTAAAAGGAAATAAGCTCTCAAACCAAGAAAAGACATGGAGGAAACTTAAATGCAAATTACTAAGCAAAATAAGCCAATCTGAAAAGGCTACATTTTGTATGATTCCAACTATGACATTCTGGGTAAGGCAAGAACTACAGAGACAGTAAAAAGATCAGTGGTTGCCAGGGGTTAGGGGAGGAGGAAGAATGATTTTTAGGACAGGGAAACTACTCTGTATGATACTATAATGGTATTGGTATTGCAGTGGAATGATACTATACATTCGTCAAACCCATAGAGTGTACACCAGGAGTGAACTCTAATGTCAACTATCAACTGTGGGTGATTATGATGAATCAATGTAGGTTCATCAGTTGTAATAAATGTACACTCTAGAAGGGATACTTGATAATGAGGGAGTCTATGCATGTGTGGGGCAGGGGTATATGGGAAATCTCTGTGCCTTACTTTCAATTTTTCTGTAAACCTAAACATCTCTTTAAAATAAAAAATAAACAAGTCTCTTTAAAAAAGAAAAACAACTCTATTAGTCAATGAGGTTGTGAAAGCCATTAAGGTTTACCCACTGTTTCCACTCTTTCCAGCTCGTACTACCTTCTGAACACCATAGAATTGCACTTCCTTGATGCTGGGTGACATCCTGGGACTGGTCCTGATCAGAGAGTTGTAAGTAGAAGTGATATGAATCACTTCCGAGATAAAGCATGACCTTCCAGAGCTCTATTCCTTGTGACTCAACATCTGGCAAATCCAAGTTTTTGACTTCCTTGAGTGACAATGATGGGCAGAGTCCCCCAGCTGGCCTCTGATGAGCACAGAGGAGAGCAAAGAAGAAGTCTTTCTTGCTCTAAGCCACCAGGCTTTGGGGGTTTGTTTCCTCAGCAAAATCTGATTGATTTTGACTGTTATAATCAAAAACCATAATATGCTACTATAATTGCAAAAGTGTGACTTCTCCCTACCCTACCTCCTCCAGTACAGTCAAAGATTCAGAAGAAGAAACACTGATCTAAGAATGAAATTTTACCTTCAGTCTTCAATCATCAATCTAATTTAGTTCATGAAAACTCTTCTTAAAATCTTGGTCTTCTTAAAACTCCAAGGAAGAGTTTCAGTGCCTGTCTCTCTCTCTCTCTCTCTCTCTCTCTCTCTCTCCCCCCCCCCCCCATTCTCTTCCCTTCCCCAAAGAGCTCTGTTATTCATGCCTATCTATCAGGCCATCTTGGTCTGACCTTCAAGCAGTGTGTAGCCTCCCACAGAGGAAATTCCTTCTTTCTCTCTGATTAGTTTTCTGCCAAGAATGGCAGCTTTTGTTCCTTTCTCAGAGATCATAGGAGCAGAATAATCCTAATCAATAAAAAGGCTGGGAGAAGGTTGTGAAACTACCCCCTCCCCAGGCAAACATGTTGGTCTCCTTGTTAATCATCATTTCTGCTAATATTTAAGCACCTATTGTATTTTATTTCTCTGCTGGTTCAGAGAGCAGACAGGAAGAAGGAGGTTATTTATTGGGTCTCTCAAACCCCGACAAAGACCAACTGGAATCCTCTCAGGAAGTCTTCAGAACAGCAGTTCTATCCACCCACCACTATCCCTGGCTGTGTGGGAGGATCACGAGTGTTGTGGTGACACTGGAGAGCAGGATGGCCACGGCTTGGTGCAGCCTCACACAGGTTTCCTCCATCCATGACTCCTTCCTGGCATGGTCAGGTTTGCAGAGTAATTCAACCAAGGCCCAAATCCGTACATAAGATGCACAGCACTTTCTTGACCTGTGTGTGAAGGGCTGGCGGCACCCCCAGAACACCTTCAGTCTCTGTAGCAGGTTCCCATCAGAGGCAAGAAAGCTCCCCTCCCTTGCACTGTCAGCCTCCTCTGCTCTTCTTGTCTTACCCTCCAAACCAAAAACATCTCTCTGCTGCACTGATGCTGAATGAAATACAGGACTACTTAGAAAGAATGAGCAAAAATACACAGGAATATACCCCCTGAAGCTGTCCTTGCAATGCAGTATGATTCCTGACAGGTGCATCCTTCAGGCATTTAACTTTGACCTCCTCACAAAGGCTTTCTGAATGTTACAAACGTGCAGGACCACATATGCCATAGAACAGCAGCTTTGATCAAACCACAGAACTTACTGCCAAGATATATAAAGCGTGACTGAGTGACGACCCTCTGTCTTCCCTGAGTGCGTGATGACGACCTCCAAGGATATCCGCAAACCCAGGTGTGGGCCCAGGATTCAAGCTCCAGCTTTCTGAACATTAATAAAACAACCTGGAATCTTCTTTAATCGATTCACTCATTTGCTCATGAAACTGTGGATCACCAAGTCTGGCTACAACTCCTCTCATGACTCTCTTCTTTCCATTTCCTTTACTCTTACTCTTTTTCAGGTCCTTACCGCTTCTTGTATGAACACCAGAAATTACTAACTGGCCGTCCTGCCCTGGTTTTCCATCCTCGGGCACCGCTGACATGGTGATCACCATGAAACACCCACCCAACTACCTGATTCGCTTTCAACACTCAACAAAGGGATAAGAGCATGGGCATAACTTGAACCAGATAATCCAAGGTTCAAGTCCTGACACTACTATTTACTCAGCACAAGTCCTTTAACCACGTCAGCTTGTACCTTCCTCATCCCGTACTAGAAAGAACAATAGCAGTCATCTAATAGAGTTTGGGAGAACAGAGTGCGATAATACACTTAAAGCTCTTAGCATGATGTTTTGGCATCTAGTTAGTAAATGCTCAATAAATGTGTATTATTATCATATGTTCCGAGCATTAGAGGCACTGCAAATTCAGGGCATAGAAAACCTTTCCATTCTCATCTCCTACTAATTCAAGCAGTGGCTGCAACTCCTTTATCCAAGGGTTTTCACCCTGTGCTCTTCAGAACACTGCTTTGCCACAAACCCCTCCACGGAAGTATTGGAACTTTATTGCTACCTCTAGTACACTTGTCTCCAAAACAGCAAGAGTAGCGAGAATTTCATGCATCTTCAACAAGGCTTTTCATCAGGAGACAATACTCTAAAGTTACCCACGTAGATGGCATGTTGCCTTCTGAAAAAGGTACAATGTTTTGATGTCGAATCATCTTTATCTCTAAGAGTAAGTGTCATATTTTCCCAGCTGAAATAAGTTACCACCTTGAATGCCCTCACGTATACTCTTCCCAGATTCACCAGTAGGGGGCGCGCCTGCATAAAGGCGGGAGCTGGAGCAGGTCCCTCACTCTGGGACAGTTGTCTGTTCCAGAATGCATAATTCAGTGATGCAATTTTCTTTAAACTTACCGGAGGCCTAGAAGATGGAAGCATCTCAGCTCTTGCAGTTTTTCATCAACACTTGTCATAACACAGCCCATGCTTGTTGCTATTACCAAAATGATTTTTTTTGGCAGTTTGCACAGTATCTAAATTAGTTACAGACTGGACTACGTGAGTTACCTGAATTCCAAGTTGGCAACGATCCCTACACACATTTCATTTTATTCCCAGAAGTCCATGTAGAGAGTAAGCATCACGCAGTGTTTAAAAGCACAGACTCTAGACCCAGGCTGCCAGAATTCAAATCCCAGCTCTGATACTTAGTAGCTGTGTGACCTCGGGAAGTTGTTTAACCTCTCTGTGCCTCAGTTCCCTCATCTGTAATATGGGAATAACCAATAACCTATTTCCTAGGTTGTTGTGGAGATTAAATGAGTTAATATGTGCAAAGTGCTTCAAACAGTGTTGGGTACATGGTGAATGCTACATGCAATTTTGCTACTCCTACCGCTTCTCCTGCGTAGCTATCATTGAAGCACTGCAGGTGAGAAAAGGAGGATCAGAGACTAAATCTGTCCTCTTGAGAGCAACTCTGCAAAGGGAATCTTGCCAATGGATTCTACTCTACTTGGAGTCAATGCTCCCAGCAACGGCCACAGGTGGGAAAAAGACAATACAAAATTGAAATCAGAAAGGTTTGCTTATTTACCTTAGATTCCACTTTCAGAAGCTCAGGGTGGTTAGAAATCCACATGTGTAAGAAAATACATGGCTCTAATAACTACTAATGCTTCATAAACAGCCACTCAGGGGACTCCACACTATTGAGATTGTTATTGACGAAGGACACCAGGGTGTCCTTGATGGTGCCCAGAAAAATTGTGCTGCCACCCGAAACAGCCTACCCATACATCACAAACATTGCTCCCTCACAATGTGACTTCCACATTCCCTGCAGTAAGAATACTTGCTCACCTTTATCATTTTCACAAACATCTACCCAGATTACCTCAGTTCATTTTTATGGATTTCCACTATTTTTCTTTCCAGCTTCTGCGACTGCTTGGGGAAAATCTCAAACTCACTGATGTAATTCTCGGGATGCTCATCAGGGTCGTAATCACCAAGCTCAGCTGTAATGAGTGAAAAAAATAAAGAGAAAGATTAAAAACAATAACATGAGCAGGGTGCATATGGAATGCCTCCTGCCATCCAAAAGAAGCTGGAATAAGCTCACCCAAAAAAATATATCTGTACCAGAGAAAGCCTGAGTGTCTAGAAGCTCATATTCCAGTTCAGATCCAACTGTCTGTGAGCTTGGGGGCTTCAGAATCTTCTCTGGGTCTCGCCTTCTTTCTCAGTATAATAAAGGATTTAAATCACTGTTTCTCAGTGGGCGCACCATTGGCATTTTGGGGGCTGAGCAATTTTATTTTTTCAGATTTTCCAAAGAACTGTAGAACATTTAGTACCTCTGCCCTTCAGGTACTAGATGTTAGCAGTTTACCCAGGCACTGGGACCACCAAAACTGCTGTCTCCCAGAAGTTAGTCAAAGAATACAGGATTTCAGCTAGATAGAAGGCATATATTCAAGAGAGCATTGTACCATATGGAGACTATAGTTAGAAAGAACATATTGTATACTTACAAACCACTGAGAGGGTAGCTTTTAATTGTTCTCACCACAAAAACAATGATAAGTATATGAGGTAATGTATATGTTACTGAGCTCGGTTTTACCATTTCACAATGCAGGCATATTTCAAAACATCAGGTTGTATACCATGAATATACATAATGTTTGTTGCTTTAAAATGTTTTAAATTTAAAAAAAAATTTTAATACTCTTCCCCTACAATATTTCCAAATGCTCCGCGGATAGGAGGTGGTACCACCTCTTGGTGGAAACCAGTGGACATTCCTTGGGGTTCCATTCATAGCTAATATCCTCTGCATCCAGGAATTCCCTGACTGGAGCTGCCTGCTCTGAGGCTTATGCAGGTATGGCTTATTCAAGGAAAAATCACAACAAGAAGGATCCCAGCAGGATTGCACTTAAAAACAAATTGATTGCTCTTCAATTTAAAGAGTACGCATCTAAGACAGAAGAGCATACCAGATTAAAGCTGCCGCTGGAAACTAATGAGACATAAAAATAAAATCCTAAGCTCCCCAACAGACTGAACACTGCCCACACTTGGCCAAGAGACCCCAGAGAACCCTTAAAAACTGAGTTCCCAGACATGATGAGGTCAGACCTCACCATACCCCCTCCATCATTAATTGCTATTAGGTTTCCTACCCCGAAGGTTAAACAGAAATCAGTCCTTTTGAAAGACTGCACCACTGATATCAACCAGTTGCCTGATGCTCCCCCTCCCTTATGTGGTTTTGACATAGCAACTGACCACCATTACTTCCTGGTAAGAGACCACTGGCCACAAAGTGGTTCTGGCCAGTCTATGGAGGCTGTGCACAGAGGGCCTTTGTGTCCTCTGCTTCACCTTTTGACGTATAGGCCTTAATCATAACACATTTAAATGTTAAGTTTCCACCCAAAAGTGAACATGGAATGCATGTTGCCTGTGCGCTAGCCTACTATGCATGCGTTTCCCTTTTGCGAATATTCATAGCTCCTACTATAACCTGTTGAACATGTATGCTTGGCCACTCCATTCAGCATAAATCCTTGTCTTATTCTTCCCACCCTTGAAGTGCTTGTTTCCAGCTTCTGGCCAGAGGCCACATTTCCCCACCTGTCAGAATGGTCACCCTGCAAGCTGCAACCCTTTTTGAGAAATAAAGCTCTTCTTTCCAAATTTATGTACTTCATGATTCACCAGCTGACACCAACAAAGGGCACATCCAGCGAATCTTCAAGGGTAAAAAGAGAAATATCTTCACACCTGTGAGCACCCAGAAGGCCAAGCAGAGATGGGTGTGTGAACCACAGCAAAGGTGATGTCTGGCATCAAGTACACCTGCTATCCACAAGCATGCTAAGGAAAATGAGCCAGAAGAAGCAAGTGTCTCTGGAAGAAACAGAAGATACGGCCCAGGAGAGCAGACTGAAGATAGTGGGAAAACTGTATTAGAAGAACCTGATCACCAGTATGACTTTGAAGAAGAAAAAAATTAGTATGCCTTGAGTGCATTTGAAAAATTACAAACAGCTCTCTATGCATCACTGTCCCTTCATTGTCATGTCATCCAAAGACTGGAAAAGGATCTAACCAGGAGGAAAGCAAAGCTCTTTAAAGCTTCTGAAAAAAATTCAAATTACAGAGTTCTTACAACAACCTAGAATATACACCACAAGGAGGGAAGACTTCCAAAATAAGACTCAAAATAATATCACTCACAAAGGGGAAATTGATTAATTGGATCATATCAAAATTTATTTCTGTTTATTAAAGGACATCAGAGTCAAAGTAATAGAGAGAAGACAACTTGAAAGACCATATTTTCACAATCTAAAGCGGACAGGGACTAATATCTAGAATAAAGAAGAAATCCCTACAAATCATTTTTCTAATGGATAGGAAGACCAATAGAGAAATGGTCAAAGGATACAAACAGACAATTCAAAGAAGAGGAAACCCAAAGGGCCAGTGTAGGGAGAGATGCTCAAACGCATTAATACTTAGAGATATACAAACCAAAACAAGATGTTACTTTATATCTATAACATTGGCAATAAAACTAGGAAGTTGGCAGAGACATGAGAAAACAAAAATACTTGTACACTGCTGAAGGGTGCTAGATGCACACTGCTCCTCTAGAGAGCAAGGTAGGAGTACTTAGTCAAATATTATGACCAAGCAATCCCATTTCTGGGCATTTTTCCTAGAAAACCTCTGGGTGCAAAAAAGGATATGTTCAAGGTTTTTTATCACAGCATTAATCATAATAGTCAGAAGTTGGAGGCGACCTGGGTGTTTATTGTTGGTGGGACAGATAGATAAGTAAAACGTGGAAGACACACCCTTTGGGACACTCTGTCACAGTTAAAATCAACACAATAGAAGGATGGATCCCAAAAGCAGTGTTCTGAGCACAAGAAGGAGGGCATACAACGAGTTCTATGGCATCATTTAATTTGTAAATTTTAGAAGTATGTAAGCACGAAACAAATCAATCATTTTATAAGAATGGATACAAAGACAAAGATATGCATATGAACCCAGGGTTGCCCTTAGGAGTGGAAATGGAGAATAATGAAAAAGAGAAAATCAATCAATCAATCAATCCATGGGCCTAAAGGGTCCAATGATGAGAGTGGGCCGTAAACTGATGATTAACTCAACCCGTGCTCCAAAAGAAATACACATAACATACCCACCTACACACACATATACGCTTGTGCCGCAGTGAGCTAGCTATAGGCATTAATATTTAGGAGATGGACTAACCCAGAGCTTCCATTTTCCAAAGGTGATGGGATAATGGACCACCAATATGAAACTGGGTCATCTTCAGTGCAAATGTCAGCCTGCAGAGTGGTTGGTGAGGGAGAGGGTTGTTTGTAGGGATGCACTTTTCTTTCCAGGAAATCTAGTGAGGTATTATAGACTTGCAATGCTAAACATTGCAAATATTAGAAAAGTTAGACAAGAAATGCCATGAAGACTGCACTGGGTACTGGGTCGCTGAAAAAGTAAAGATTAACACTGCCGCCATCACAGGCCCTGATCTCTAACCCCTTAAAGCTTGTCTTTATCTCTGACCTCTCCTTAAACAGAAGGCAGTTTTTTTTAATAAAGACTTCTAGCTATTCATACCAAGAGGAGTTGGGTAAGCAGCTGTGGTTCTCCCTCCTGCACGTGACTTGCAAGTTGAAGCTGTGACAAATGACATAAAACTGGAGGCCCTATGGTTTGAAACCAGCTCCAGCACTTTTCTAAAAGGATTCCATTCTAAGAGAAAAATCCAATGAGTTTGAAGTGAAAGGGTGAGTAAGATCAAAAATGGTAAGTTTAGAAAGCAACAGGCTTTCCCCTGGTTTGGAAAGGACTCCTTCCAAAGGCATTTGAGAGGCAGGACCTTCATTTAGCTCCAGGGCCAGCCCCTTCAGGAGCCTTCCCTGACCCACCCTTGCTGAGTCAGGAGCCCTCCTGGGACACTCATAGCAGAGACTGGGGCTGTGTGTCCCTCTATCTCGCCATCAACGCAGGTCACAATGGCCTGTTTCCTTGTCCATCTCCCCACAGAAACTTGATATGGCCATGTGGCCTCCTTGCAACTGCTCAGGAAATGTTTGGAGAACACATTAACAAATAAATGAATGAGGTAGTGATACCATCCCAGTAGGCGACCAACCAATCTTTCCCGTAGTTAAATGAAACAGGCACAGTCATTTAACTAAATGTTAAATTTAACTAGACATTAAATGATTGTGCCTGATTCATTTAACTATGGTTAATCAGGGCACATTTTAAGCTTTGGTATATTCTAAGTTTATTAAAAACAGTCAATCAAGCTGGGTGTGGTGGTACACACCTATAATCCCAGCTGCTTGGGAGGCTGAGGTATTGCTCCAGGCCAGAGTTTGAGACCATCCTGGGTAACAGTGAGACCCTATCTACAAAAAATACAAAACCAATCAATCACCTGGAGTTCAGGCAAGTGCCCTGATTCATTTAACATATTTAGTGGAGAACCTACTGCGTACCAGACATAAGAAGACTGCTGTGAAAAAACACCCAGATCCTACTCCCATGGAATTAGATTCTACACAGGAGGAAATGCATAATAAGCCCCCCAGAAATTCAAACTCTAAGTGCTTGCAAGAAAACGAAACAGGGGTCTGAGAAAAAATGACATGCAAGAGGGAGCTGCTTTAGCTCGAGTGGTCCAGGCAGCCTTATCGGAGGAAGTGGCTTCTGGACTGAGTTCTGAATAACCAGCAGAAGTCAAGATTTCTACAGGAGTTGAACACACCAGGGAGAGGAGATAAGTTGAATTCCTCTCTGCAGTGCTGTTTTGTAAAAGGAACAGGAAATAAAGATATTTTTACCAAGAAAGAATATAAATAGATCCCAAAGATTCTGTGTTTGTTTTGCAATTTGTATTATGAAAGAAAATTCATTGCATGTCTTGAACATGCTTGTTGGATTCAGCATGTGCAGGCAGCAAAACTCCAGGTGATTGACTGGTTTGGTATTCTTTGCAGAGACAGGGTCTTGCTATGTTGCCCAGGCTGGTCTCAAACTCCTGGCCTCAAGCAATCTTCTTGCCTCAGCCTCCCAAGTAGCTGGGATTATAGGTATGCACCACCACAGCCAGCTTGATTCACTGTTTTTGATAAACTCAGAATAGACTGAAGCTTAAAACATACTCCTTGAAAGAGCGTTAGCAAACAAGACGATGAGGAGTGACAGTGCCTCTTGATTACTAATCACTTACTCCATCTTCCCTGATACTCTGTAGGAAGAAGCAGTTCTGAAAAGCCCATCTGTATCTGCATTTGTGAATGACCTGCAGAGCTGCCGAAATTACTCACCCAGGAATCAGACCTTTATGAACCACTTTTACTGAATTTGCTATAAATGACCACAGACAGCACTGCATTTGATAGCCAAAAGGTCTTTTTGAGGTCTGCCCATCCATTTCCCACTCCACTTTCTCCACAGTGTCTGTGTGTGTGTGTGTGTGTGTGTGTGTGTGTGTGTGTGTGTGGTCACTGATAATAGCAATGGGAGATAAAATAGGGCCCTAATCGTCTGGATGGAGGCTCCGTAGCTTTACTTCAAACAGAAAACAGGATGGCAAGCTTTCCATTATAGATTCATATTGAACTTGTCCTTGGAGAATTGATGGTAATTCACTGATGCCTACATGCATTCTGAAATCCTCATATGCTGGTCTGTTGCTTGGATTAGTATTGATTCCCTTGTCTCTTACCTAAGACAGTGCGCCCTAACTCAGGATGTGCAGCCTTCACCATGGAGGAAGGGAATTATGGGATTTACAGTCCTTTCACTTCAAGGTAAGAGAGGCAGCTTTCAGAAGCAAATTCTCTACCTCAGTGCCGATGAAAGGGCTGTTTCCTGTCGCAGTATCAACCATAGTGTTTAAACAAGAAAATATGCAAGGGTTTTAACACCTCTGCCAAAATCTGCTACCCAGGATGAGGCTGTTCCCAGGGAAGGGGGTGAAAAACAGTACCCACACCCATTCACTTCAGCATGCTCAGAGAGACCCAACACAACTGAGAAGTTGATCAAAGGAAGAGGATCGCAGCACAGAGCACCCCACAGGAGGGCAATGGGCCAAAGGGAATCTCCAGGAGAATGGTGGGTTTCTCAAGCAGTGACAAGTTTGGTGTTGTGGTAGGCAGGTGATCATCACCGATGAATGACCAGCTAATGACCCATCAGAACCTCCTGTGTTATTCCAGATCCATTGGAAAACTGGCATAAACATCTCTCTCACTCTGTCTTCCCCCACCACCCCACCTTCTCTCTCATAAACATGCTGTTAATGTTCATGCTACAAACAGCTGGATCATCTGGGTCCCTCCAGCTGCCTCTCCTGGTCCAGGGGAACAGAGCACCTGAACCATCTTCACTTGGGTGTTTGGCCCATCCCTGGCCATATGATGCCTCAGGCCCTGGAGGCCTTCTTCTCTCAAACTACTTTCCTTACTAGGTGGAAACGTCCAGAACCCAACCCACATCAACACATTTGCTGTTTCCTACTGCCCCCACAAGCCCTGGGGTTTGTTCAACTGGAAAAAGAACAGTAGTCACTTCTAATGTGTCTGCACTACCCCTGGCCTGATGCATAGTGGTCTCATGAAGTCACATGGCCAGGAAGGGAAGATGACTATCCTATTTAATAGATGAAGAAACTGAAGCCTGAAGAGCTTAGGTAACTAGGTAACTTATCCATGGTAAAACATCCAGGAAATGGGAAGAAAGATTCAAATGGTATGACAAATTATGAGGCTTGTGCTCTCCTCACCATGCCCATAGCTAAAAGAGCTGAGGAATTAGACATAATAGTCATGTACACATGTATAACCATACACACACCAATAGATAGGAAGGACGGATGGACTGATGGACGGACGGACGGATAGATGGATGGATGGACGGAGAGATGGATGGATATACACAAAAATGCTTCCAGGAATGACCCCTTTGTTTAACACCTATCTTCCTGGATGCAGGGTCCCCCCTCAAAATGTCCATTAGCCCTCTCACCTAGCATTTGGAACTGAGAACATACAACACCCATTTCCCTTCAGAGCTTCTCATAAACCCACACATTCCACATTCCAGCCCCTTTGAAAGAGGGCTTCTGACTCTGACTCTTGGGATCTTAAGGGACTCTGTTTTTGCAGAGGCCCCTGTGAGCATCTCAGCCCAGCCTTCAACCAGGACCCCACTCGCTTGGGAAGGAAGGTGAGTAGGGGTTCTGTTGCTTCGTACCCGGCCCTACCTGGCCTCCAGCCACAGACACAGGCAGGATGGCCATGGGTGGTAAAGAAGGGAGGCTCGAAACAGCCGGAGCTCCACAGTACAATGGTGGTGTGGGTGAGCTGTGGCCAGACTTACCTTGAACAATACAGGCACCCAGGTAGGCAGCATCGGAAAAGGAGCACAGCAGCCGGCCATGAAAAATATCCCTTTTAATCTGAAGGTACAAAAGGTACCTGCAATATAAAAGGAGAAATGGTCACCCTAACTTTTGGCTGAAGTCTGGAAGAAGTACGATTGTTCACGCTTAGCTCCTACAGTGACCAGAGCTTTTCCGAGCTTCAGGGAGTGGCCTAGACATGCCACGCCCTTTGTAGAACAAGCAAAAGCAAGCTGAGACAGGCCTTCTGAATTCGGAAAATCTGAAGTGTCTGCCGAGCAGATCTTATTAGCTTCCAAAGCTGAGCAGCCTCGGCCTTTTCAAAGAGGCACGAGAACTGAGGAAAGCCACAGAACCCAGCGGCCAGAGCTCCGGGCAGCAACTCCCGGGCGAGGACAGCTATGGCCACTATCATCACCACCTGCATCTCAGGTGCATGCTGCCCAAGCTCTGTTTCAAATGAAGAGCCAGGAAACAGTACATCAGGCCAGCCCTGCCATTTCTCAGGGGCAGACAGACTCATCAATCTCAGACAGATGTGGTTTATTATGAGGTCAGAAAGGCAACTAACTGATTCACAACTAGAGCTATCATCTGCGTGGAGTCTCCCCTCTCCAGGATGGCACACTCAGATGCCTCCTGAGTCCAGGCACACGGTGGCCTGTGACATGGGCAAGTCACCTGTGCTGGTGCAAGAATTGCTGAAAGCAGGACGAGACACAGCAGCTCCCTACAAAGGGGGCAGCTACCACACCGCTCCAGCCTAGTGCTGCCACTGGAAAAGCAAACCAAAGGTGTCCAGTTTTTCTAGGAAAATAGCAGGGTGGAAGGCAGGCGGCAGAGCAGAGTACCAGTTTGCAACCCCTAGCTCAGCCTCATTTTGCCCCTGTCCTTTCTGCTCCTCCGCACTGATCAAACTGTCTTCCAATTTCCTCATCTTCTCAAGCTTCCTTCATTCCAGGCTCAGGCCTGGGGTCTGTTGTTTCTGGGCAGAGTAACTTTACAGATGAGTGCAGATTCTTTCCGTGCTTACTTTATAGAGTTTAACTCACAGAAACCCATTTTTTTTTCCTTCCCATCTTCTTAGGGGTTTGGGGGAAGCATCTCTTCCCAGTTATCACCTTGTGATACTGGATTGACCCATGGAATACCCAGATATCTGGTTCAACATTTTTTCTGGGCGAGGGTGTTTCTAGAAGAGATTAGCATTTGATTTGGTGGACTGAGTAAAGCAGATGACCCTACCCAGTGTGGTGGACCTCATGCAAGCCATTGAGAGCCTAAATAGCACACAAAGGCAGAGGAAGCTGAATTCACTTTGCCTGACTGCTTGAGCTGAGACATCAATCTTCTATCCTCAGTGCTCCTGGTTCTCAGACCTTCAGACTTGGATTGGAATCTACACCATTGACTCTGGCTCTCAGGCCTTTGAACTACGCCACTGGCTTCCCTGGGTCTCCAGGTTACAGATAGCAGGTCATGGGACACCTTGGTGTCCACAATCAAATGGGCCAATTCCTTATAATAAATCTCATTATGCATGGCGGGGTAGGGGGGCCTGTGTGTGTGTGTGTGTGTGTGTGTGCGCGCGCGTGTGCGCGTGTGTGTAGCCTATTGGTTCTATTTCTCTGGAGAATCTCAACTAATACACATCTCTAGTGCCCAAGTAATTTTGTCTTTACTCAGCCATAGAAAGAGCGACATGTGTAATCCCCATTTTAAGAGCAAAGAACTAGAGAATCAGAGAGGGTGATTAATGTGCAAAGGTCACAGGGACACTGTCAACCCCAGAGCACTGGAGCACAGTGTTTCCATGCACTGAAAGGACTCTGGGTGCCCTGAAGGACTCTATGGCTCACTGATGTTTTCCTTCACTGTAGCTTTGTCTAGCATCTGCTTCATGCTGTGCACTGTGCTGTGTGGGCACTGGGGGCATGGTGGAGGCTCAAGTGACAATCTCTGTCCCCAGTTTAGTATTAAGTTGTGTGCAGAGGATAAAGGCAGCACCTAAAAAGTTTCTAATTTGAAGTTTGGTATGCATTCTGTCCAAGGAACAATATTACACTCAATGGGTAAGGACCCAGACTAGCTACCTAAACTAGTGCCTCTCACACTTTACTGCGTACATGAATTACCTGAAGAGTTTGTTAAATTTGATTTTGATTCAAAAGGTCTGGGATGGGCTCAACATTCTGTATTTCTAATAAACTCCAGGGGGCTGGGCGCAGTGGCTCATGCCTGGACTTTGGGAGGCTGACGAGGGTGGATCACAAAATCAGGAGATTGAGACCATCCTGGCTAACACGGGAAATCCCATCTCTACTAAAAATACAAAAAATTAGCTGGCTGTGGTGGCACAAGCCTGTAGTCACAGCTACTCAGGAGGCCAAGGCAAAAGAATCTCTTGAACCTGGGAGGTGGAGGTTGCAGTGAGCTGAGATCACGCCACTGCACTCCAGCCTTGGCAACAGAGTAAGACTTCATCTCAAATACATAAATACATACATACATACATAAGCTAAGCTCCAGGGCTCCAGGGGATGCTGTGGTGCAGCTCCATCAGTCACATTTTGAGAAATAAGGTTCTCAATTGTGATGTAAATTAGCATTACTTGGTGGGGTGAGCTTTTGAAAAATACTAGTACCACATAAGTCTCTGGATCCTACCCCAGACCCAATTAAATCAGAATCTGGGCCCTCACCAAAACTTGTACATGAGTGTTCATAATAGCAATATTCATTATAGCTAGAAAGTGAAAACTGGGCAGGGTGCAGTGGCTCATGCCTGTAATCCCAGCATTTTGGGAGGCCAAGGCGAATGGATCACCTGAGGTCAAGAGTTCAAGAACAGTCTGGCCAACATGGCAAAACGTCGTCTCTACTAAAAATATAAAAATTAGCCGGGCGTGGTGGCTTGCGCCGGTAATCTCAGCTACTTGGGAGGCTAAGGGAAGAAAATTGCTTGAAGCTGGGAGGCAGAGGCTGCAGTGAGCTGAGATTGTGTCACTACACTCCAGCCTGGGCAACAGAGCAAGACTCCATCTCAAAAAAAAAAAAGTAAAAACAAGCCAAATGTCCCCAGGTGACAAATAGACAAAAGAAATGTGGTATATATCCTTACACTGGAATATCATCCAACCATAAAAAATGAAATGCCAAAGATGCTACAACAGGGATAAAGCTTGAAAGCATTATGCAAAGTGAAAAGACGCCAGACCCAAAACGCTACATATTGGATGACTGCTTGGGTACAAAGTTTCCTACTGGGCTGATGAAAATGTTTTGGAACCAGATCATGGTGTTAGGGGCACAAATCTCTGCACATACTAAACTAAACTGTACACTTCAATATCTGCCAAAAGAAACTAATATTTTGAAACTTCAAATTATGTTAGAGTAGTGGGTCTCAAAATGTGGCATGCTTCAGGATTACCTGGAGGGCTTATGAAAATACAGATTGCTGGACCCAACCCCTGGGGGTTTCTGATTCTGTATATCTGGGCAGACACCAAGAATCTGCATTTATAACAAGTTCCCAGGCGATGCTGATGCTGCTGGCCCAGGGACCTCACTTTGAGAACTGGCCCTAGACTATCCCACATAGTGAGGTCACACAAATGCTTTAAATGATCAAATCTTAGCCCTTTGTAAGGACTGTAAACTACCAGGCCAAATACCATGAAGTTTCTTTTCTGTATATTGCATGTATGCATCAAAAATAATTGCATTTGTTTCTACTTTTTGATGAGTTTGGCAGAGAAAAATAGTTTCAAATAACTGTTTATTGGTAAATGAGAGGCTTGGGTTCTAATCCCATAACTCAGAAATCAATTTGGCAAGAGCTTCCTGAGAAAAGAAAAGCAGCTTTCACATCAGAGTTGGGGCTGTGCCCATATCAGTGATCTCTGGAGATGATCAAGGATTACTGTGGATTCAGCGTAATCCACAGTATTATAAATGGCTTCACATTCAGGATGCTCATTTTTAAAAATATAATAGCTACCAAAAAATAATGCATAAAAGATAAAGCAACAGAAACACATGAGGGTCTGGGCCATAAATTATTGTGCTGCCATTAATCACATTGCATCTCTATGTGTGCTGGAAGATGGTTCTTACTAAAAAAAAAAAATTAAAATCAACATACTTTTGGTAACACTCAATTGTATAGAGCAGTTACAAAAGCCCCAGAAATCCAGAGGATTATAAGATGGTTGTTTAAATGGAGAGATAAAGAAAGGAAAAAAAGGAAAGGATGAAAATTGATTTTAAGTATCATTTTTTTGTGGTTATTGCTATTATTTTGCATTTTCAAATTTGCCTTTTTCTTAACCTTTCTTTACCCTTAAGAATGGTCATGAATATGATCTTAACTTCTCATATATCAAATTCTTCTCAAACTTTAGATTCATCCTATAATAAAATAACAGTTTATCATACAAGAAAAAGCAAATGCCTTCAAGATTCAAACCATAAGTACCTGGAGCATTTCACAGTTTCTCAATTAGTTTAGAATTCTAAGGAATGTGTTGACTAAGAAAAGCCCATTTCTACTTGTGTAAAAGCAGTGGACCATCTTAATTTCCTTTGGAAACCAAAAGGTTCACAATATTCCACTATTCATACGTGAGCTATTTAGTCAAAGGTGGGAAAATGTTAGCAAATATAATTGAGGGGGGCTAAGCTAGGGTTATTAACTGAAATGCTGTATTATTTTACTTTCAAACGGAACTTTTCTCAACAACAAAATGTCCATCCCTAATTTATGTTGTGACACATACTCGATTTTTATCTTCCAGGCAAAATTATAAAGAGAACAAATGACAAAAGTGAGGCATTAGGATTTGATTTGATTCCTAATTACACTGTTGGCACCCCGAGGGCAGGACAAATAGTTCGTACGTGTTCTCTCTCTATCTCTATCTCTCTTCTCTTTCTCTCTCTTTGGCAGCTAATTCAGCCCTTGCCCCCTGGGTAGTAATAGCAAGTGAGAACAAATTTATCAAATAAATCATTAAAAATTTCAGTCCAAAATTAGACCAAGGCTACATACTGTACTATTTCATTTATATGGAATGTCTGGAATGGGCAAATCCATAGAGACCAAAAGTAGATTAGTGGTTTCCAGGTGCTTGGATGGGGGCTGAGGTGGAGAATAGGGAGTGACTTCTATGGGGTACATGGTTTCTTTTGAGGTGATGAAAACTTCTGGAACTAGATAGTGGGGAGGGTTGTCCAACACTGTGAATGTACTGCCACTGCATTATACACTTTAAAATGGTGAGATAAAATTATGTCATGTGAATTTTACCTCAATAAAAAGAAAAAACCAGGCCAGATTGCAAAATCCCAACCACTGCTTTTAATGTCCATTATCTATTATCCTCGTTTCCAGACACACACACACCCCTTCTCTCCCCATCTTCCACCCCCGACACAAACCTTACTAAATGACTGTGAGCAAATTAATAATGAAGAGCAGAACCATCTGCTCCCTCTTAAAGTCACCTCCATGCCACTATTGTTAAGCTTACTAGAAACCCTGGATAATAACAAAGAAGCAAAATATCCAAGAACCCAAAAATTCCCCTTGCCAATCATCAGAGCAGATTACACTTGCTTTTCTGCTGCATCTATCTGTACCTAAGCAGCTTATTTTGAGAGATGATTATAGCAAGTGATTTTTGTGGTCATCACGCCAGAGCCTCATCTAGAACTAAGAACATAGCAGCTCTCTCTCCCATCCTCCTGGGGTCCTGCTCACAACATGTGTCCAGGTTATTCAAGGAAGCCAAATCCCCTGAAGGTACACTGAAGCTGTAGCCCCAGCAGAAGGGAGATGAGAAGGGAGAAGTTCCGAGGACTCAAAAATTCAGTGGGTTGGGCTGAGAAGGGCCTAAGGAGTGGAGGGAAGCCTGCCTTCCAGTGGGTCATTCAGCCAGCAGAATGCAGGATGACAGACACTGCGTTCTATCAGGGATCTTTTCCCTCCCAGAAAACCTGAGCTCCAAAAGATAGACTAGGTACTGCACCAGGTATAAATTTGCCCATGTCTCGAAGACAGACGTCTCCTATTTATTTTTAGTACCCCACTGTCAGATGTTTTCAGAGAACACCTCCCCCGTCATAGCCAGTGCTTTTTTCTGCAGTTAATTACACTCCCAGTGAAAATTGTTTTAAAACAAAATCCCAAAACAATCAGGGTTAGAGAAGCATTCCAAGCCAAAACACTGAGTTGTGAGCTGCAACACTGAGTTCTGAGTGTGCAACTCTAGACAGGAGGCCCATCTAGCCTGCAAGACCAAAGAGGTCCTGGCTGGTTAAAGGTGCACGTTAAACATACAAACAAACAAAAAATACCTTGTGAGCTCTTCTTTAATCTTCAAGGGTTCATGTGGGTAGAATTTCACTCTAAAGCACATGGTGTATGGTGGATGAGCTGAAACATCATAAAGAAAAGGCATGAGAAAAGCAGCAAAAGACCATGGGCTCAAACACACAGGAAAGGCAGCCGTGCAGCCTGACACACTAGCCGGGGAGTCGGGGCTGGGAGGGGGTGATTGTTCCGGAAGAAGCAGATATGAGGCCCAAGAAAACAAAGCAACAGCAACAGCAAAACAAAGAAAATGCTTGACAGGACGCCCAGAGCAAATGTAGAATCCCAGCAACCTAGTCAATGAGCTCATTTTTCCACATCACAGCTCGCCTTCATTCCTTCATTCTCTCCAGATCACAGCTCCAGAGAACACTTCTCTCCTGATTCTTCCCACCCCTCGTGACAAATACATTGCCCATAAGCACCATTCAGGTTGCTGGGCTCACAAAAGATTTTTTTAGCCTGTGAGGTGGAAAAAAAAAATGTCACTGCACATGACTAGTTTTCCCAAAATGATGGTGCCTCTGAATTAAAATTCAGATTTAAAAGATGGAGTCAGCCATGCACAGATCCTACTTCACAGATTTTTAGAATTATCTATCTCTACAGGCAGTCACCTGTATGAAAATCAACACTTTTATAACTTCCTGGTTTCACTGAAGGGAACACCCTATGTAGGCTGCAATTCTGGTTGAGGTTCATGATTCTGGAATAATCTAATTTGCATTGAATATCCAGAACTCATCCAGCTAATGGGGATTCTACAGGACTTCCAAGACCTTCAATTATAAGATCACTACCAACTTGCAGTATTACTCTGATAAATTCATACAAGTGTAGTGAGGTGCATTCAGATTTCAGTTAACATATAAAATGAACATCTTAAAATCAAGTAAATAAGATAGTTAGCATTACCATTTCCATGGATCGGACATACTACTCATTTGCTTCTGTATCAGTAAAGCTACCTGAGATCAGCTCTCAGTCTACATCCAAATGTGAACATGAAACAACATTCTATTTTACCCAAATTTCCCTTTCAAGGTACGTAGGGGTTAAACTGCCATTCATCTCTACTCTGTCTGGACTACTCCAGATGTAGACAAAATCCTTTACATAGAAAGAACCATAGGGGTCTTGAATATGAATGCATAATGAGAATAATTTAATATGAAAAACAATTATTAAAAATAATTTGATGGCATCTAAATTACAAAAAATAAAAAACAGCAGCATCTTGCTGATGATCTCCGCAGAGAAAAACTGATCACAACACACACATACACACACACACACAAACATGCTAGAATTCTTTTCATTCAACACCCTACTACCCTACCAAGAACTAGCAAAATTCTTAACTGAAATGAGTGTTCCTAACCTGATCCTATGTTCCCTAGATTTAAGAAAAGAACATTTTTTTTTCCTGAAGCACTAGGAGAAAGTAGATACCTTCTACATAGCAAAGAAAAGGCTTAGAAAAATACAAATGATCCTCAAGTCATTCATCTTTAATGATATCTAGGAATTCAATTATAATTTAAAATGATTTATCTTTAAACATTTCCCAGATTTCTTTTTAGTTTGTTTAAAGTACCATCTGTAATATATTAAAACTAATGTCTTTTTCTTATATTCAAACTGCTGGATGTCTTTAATGAAAGGTTGAGACCGTTCTTAGAAGAACAACAGAGCCAAAGATAGGATTAACATGTATAATAAGGGAAAAGGAATTTTTCTCTTCTTTTTTTCTTTCTTTTCTCTTTTATTAAAGTCCTCTAAGTAATATGTGTTTAAGTACCACCGACGAAGATAAACAGAAATACAGATAGATAAACAGACAAATAGATAGGTGATTGATAGAAATGACAGATGGATGGGTGGATGTAAAAATACATAAACAGATGATGGATAGAAGGTAGGTAGGTAGGTAGGTAGGTAGGTAGGTAGGTAGACAGATAGACAGACAGACAGACAGACATACAGACAGACAGACAGACAGACGGACGGACAGACAAGCCATCCCACTTCATTCTTCACTTTGTCTCTAATCCTGCCCCATCTGTCTCAGGATCCTACCCAACTTCATCCCACCTCAAACTCTAACTCATGTTAACGACTTTCATCTATAGTCTTCTACTCCTTTTGCCATCTTCACACAAATATATGCCAACACGTTATTTTACATATGTGGAGGGATTTTTAATTTATTTTAACAAAGTAAGATCATACTGTGCATGTTTCTGTCACTTTTCTTACTTAGCTCCATATCCTGCCCATCCCTCCAGGATAGACAGAGATCTAAATTAATGTCTATAGTAATTACAGAATACTTTGTATTATGAATATAGCAGAATCTACTCAATTATTCTCTTTTAATTGTCATTGGGGTTTGTTTTCACATTTTTGCAATTCAAACTATTCTACATCAAACCCAATCCATCCTTGTGCATAGATAGCTAAGTGCTTGTATTTTTATTTTTATTTATATAAATATAGACTCTCAGAAGTGGAATTGTTGGATCAATGGGTATAGGAAAATGTTTTAAAGAGAGCAGAAAAACGAAGTCACCTAACTAGAGGTAATTTTTAAAAAGGAAGATCACAGAAAATGGCCCCAAACTCGAGCTGTCCTTTCTTTTCTACCTTGATAGCATTAACTTCTTAGTGTCCTAAGTTGGCTTCAATAAGCAGTGCAGCTCTTCAGTTACAAATAGTGACTCACACTTGTTCCAAAGGATCAGGCGGCGAGGCCCAGAACAGCTCCCCAGTGGCTCTCTGTGACTGTGTCTGAGTGTAGGAAGCCCTCTCACCCAGTTCTCCTCACTCCAAGCTCTGAGGCTTCAGGAAGGTCTAGTGCTTCTCCCACATGAAGAGTCCGTCCATCATCTGAAGATGGCACTTGTGGTCCTTCTGAGTCTTCTCCAAAATAAACATCCCAGTCCTCTTCATTTGAAGCAGTTCTGAGTGGCCTTCCCCAGTCCTCTGCCCTGAGTAGATTCTTGTCTGCTCTGTGCTTCCTCAAGCCTGGAGCCCCAGGGTTGCCAGCCTCATTCTGGACATAATTGTTGTCTCCTTTCAACAGTCTCCTCTCAGTGTTGATTCACCCTGAGTTTACAATAGGCCCACAGTCTTAAATCTTTTCATATTTCCTGTTGCTAAGTCACACAGAACAAGCCACTACGTTCCTGACATCTCCCTCCATTTGCTGGGATGTGACCACAGGAGAAATCAATACAAGGTGGCCCACGATATGCTCACTATTGAACCCCTTGTCAGAGAAGGAATGGGAGCTGGCGGCAGGAAACACAAGAGGAGGCGCTTTTCAAGTTTAACATTTTCTATTTTCTTCTACCATCATATATGTCCTACTGTGTTTTTCTCTCATATCTAGCCAACATCATTGACCCTCCGTCACCAATAAAAGAAAAGTTTCCCTGTAAGTTGGAAGGAGCATTCATTTCTGTCACAGTGATCCAGGAGTAGCCCCAGGGACCTGAACTGATGAGGAGGTCAGTCTCATCACCCAGGCCTGGCAAGGCCACTGGGGTGGGGACTTTTTCCTAAAGAAACTGGTTTAAGGTTCTATCAAGAGATGCAAAATTTATATTACTTTATAAAGTAACGCTGGTAAAGAAAGCTCCTTCACAAGATTGGAACAGGCTGAAAAGATAAATAATTTCCCTGAAAATGCTGATCTAGTTATGGATGACAAGATGCCTGAGAGTATAGAATAATATATCTTCTTCAGCTTTTTATCCACAGAGCTGATTATTGATAAAAAGTTGATTCTCCAAGTGTGTGGATAAATGAATTGGTTAATGACAAACCCCAGGCTTTGAGGCAGACGTGTGGGGGAACATTGAGGCCCTGCCATCACATTCATCCCTTTGTCCCTCTGACAGAATCAAAATATAGATCTAAAAAAGTTTGTCATCTGGATCACTAGAGCACTTCCTCGAATTTAGATTTTGAAGTCTCTTTTCTCAGCTTCTGTTCTTCCCACTCAACATCTGGAATAAATTCAGGGACTCTGGAGTTGGTTACAATAGCTGCTTCCAGAGGGAGGATTAATTCGATCGATAATTATCTATTGTTATCTTACAGATAACGGGCATAGTTTTATATGTTGTGCAAATATTTGTTGCACAAATGTTAGCAGCTGTGAACAGACATGATTTCCATGTTTTGTTTTGTTTTTCCCCCTGAGATGGAGTTTCACTCTAGTTGCCCAGGCTGGAGTGTAATGGCACAATCTTGGCTCACTGTAACCTTCGCCTCCCAGGTTTAAGCAATTCTCCTGCCTCAGCCTCCTGAGTAGCTGAGATTACAGATGCCCACCACAATGTCTGGCCAATTTTTTGTGTTTTTAGTAGAGATGGTGTTTCACTATGTTGGCCAGGCTGGTCTCGAACTCTTGACTTCAGGTGATCCATGCACCTCGGCCTCCCAAAGTGCTGGGGTTACAGGTGTGAGCCACCACACCTGGCCAAAAATTCTCTTATGAAATCAACCTAAGTGCCCATCAGTGGTGGACTGAATAAAGAAAATGTGGTATGTATATATCATGCAATACTGGGCAGCCATAAAAAGAACAAAATCACATCCTTTGCAGCAACATGGATGTACCTAGAAGCCATTATCTAAGCAAATTAACACAAGAATAGAAAATCAAAGACTGCATGTTCTCACTTGGAAGTGGGAGCTAAACGCTGGGTACTCATGGACATAAAGATTGAAACAATAGACACTGGGGACTACTAGTAGAAGAAAGTAATGGGGGCAAGTGTTGAAAACTAACTATTGGGTACTATGCTTAGTACCTGGGTAACAAGATCATTCATACCCCAAACCTCAGTATCATGAAAAATATCCAGCTAATAAAACTACATAGTAACCCTTGAATCTAAAATAAAAGTTAAAAGGAAATTCTGTCTTCATTCAGTGGGGGCCATGTGTGTACCTATGCAACAATCCTGCATGATCTGCACATGTACTCCAGAACCTAATACAATAAAAAAATAATAAATTAAAATAAATATGTGAAATGCCAGGACATTAGA